ATAATAATAATAATAATAATAATAATAGTAAGAAGAAGAAAAATAATGCGAACATGTACGATTTATTTGTGATAATTGTTTGATATTTACTCGACAAAGAAAATCTTTAATACTTTTATTGTTGTCTCACTTTCCAACTTCTTTCTTTTTTTGGGATATCTTAGATTCTACATAAAAAAAATCTATTACCCAAAACTTATAAGATAAAATAGGTTTATATATGTATTTTTTTCAAACAGTGTTCTTTTTAGACTTTTTTGCTTTGTTTATAGTGCACCAAACAATTTTAACTGAGTTGGTGGTGGCAAAAACGTAGCGATAATTTGCTTTGGCATTTATTTGTATTGATAAGCCACTTATCTTTACTTCTCATTTTCATTTTTTTTTTTGTCTATAATTCAAAAAAAACTAAAAAATCGCATTTTTTTTTCTGCACAGAAAAGCAAGGCAAATGAGCGTAAAATTCTGACTAGATATCCCCAGTTTCTTGTGTACTTGAAAATAATTGCCATGTTTTCAAATTAAAGTAATAATAAGTTTTTTCAGAACTGGTGTGCCTTTGGCTAAAACTTGCATAATATCACTTGTATGCTAGGCTATTGAGTATCTATTAAAGTTTTACGAAAGTATAACATTGCTGTGTCGTTGACAGTCAATTGAAGCGTTTATTCTAATAAGTTCTACAGATTTCAGTTGGTGAATGAGATACAAACTCGGAAGAAGTTATCAAAAATTTATGAATAACTTAGTTATTCTCTGAAAAATCTGGTGATTCAATCGTGTTTTCCTGATGATGAACTTCTGATGACAGACATCTTTTTAATAATGAAACAATAGTCTCTGAAAATTCAACAAAAACTGTTTCGGAGCTGTTAAAAAGTGCAGAAAACTAGCTGAAAGTTTGCGAGATTCAGATTCGATAAGATGCAAAGGCGAAGTATATAAAAAAATACTTTCTTCTGCACTTTGCTTCATGTTGGTGTGTACGTTGATTTCACTGTAGTACCATGCTAAAATACCTATTTGTAAAACAGTTGTTGAATATTGAAACACTGGAAAGACCACAAAATTCACTGTGTTCAGCTAAGACTTTTTTTTGTTTGGATCGCGCAGATCAGAATGTAATCAGTTTTGGTAATACTGAAACAGCGTCGACTTATAGTGCTGCTTGATGTAAAACCGTACCGTCATAAGACGTCAATTATCATTTAGATACTTCTGACTGCCTGATTGAGAACTGTTCTTTTTTTGTATAAATTTTTCCTCTAAGCTTTTATTCATTTTTTCATTGTAATTTGAAACTTCTTATCAATTTTTTTTAGGTGATAGAACAATACATAAAAGCAGTTGCAAAAATTTCTAGCTTTTTCTCGGGATTGAAAAAAGAGGGATGTAGACAGTTTTTCAGACCACGTGAAGATTTACGTTATTTAATTGCGTCACCGTGAATAGATTGTTGGACTGGTTTCAGTGAAGCAGTGACTGTCTATTTGTGAGGACTTTCTTTTTTTTTTTAAGATCGTAAAATTATACAGTATTTTTTGCGCGTACATTGAACAGCCAAAACAATAACTCTTCAAGTGTTAGCACCAAAAGTAAACAGAACCTAGTTACTTATTGCTAATCCTACTCTTCTTCGGTACATTTATCGTATAAAACTTTTACTAGACGAAATAATTGCTCTAATATTAATAGGTGCTTTTTTGCATTCTTAACGCTTATAGTTCAATCTAGATAGTTCCGGAAAAACACTATTGCCAGTATGATAGTTGCTAAAAAATTGATATAGACGAAACCAGAAATCAAGGATTTATTAAGAGCTTCACAATTTTTTTTGAGCTGACCAATTTTTATATCTGGTTACTAGGTCACTTTATGACACTTTTACTAGAGCACATCAGATCTAACCTACTACAGTGGTAATATATTAATTTTTTTCAGTTTAATCAAAAATCACCTTAGTAATAGACAGAATTTACTTTAATAAGACTGCAAATCGTAGTCGATTTAGCTCAGAAACTGAAAAGACGATATTCGTCAGCGGTTAATTAAATTCACTTAACTACCTTACTCTACCAGTCAATGGTGAGTACTAGACTAAGAGTTGTAAATGTTTTAATTATGCACAATCGCTTAACGTCGTTATACAGTAGGAATAAAAATTAGAGCTTTTAAATGTTAGCAACAGAATTTGGGGTTATGCTGTCACTCATTTAAAGCATTTGTAGATTTTAATTTTTAACCTATTTATACCACTAAAAAGTGTATCTATCAATAGCTTCAATTAAGCTATAATCAATAAATGATGAAGTTTTTTTTCTTCTGCTAAATACATATGTACCGTTTGATGTGCAGAAGCGTTGAGTAATTTTGGTCATAGAGTGAAGTTAGACGTAGGAATTTACGCAGCGTTATCTATATGAGGACCAGTCACAAAAAAATTTTTTTTTAGATCAACTTACAATTGACTGAGGTTTAGGAAAGAAAATTTTGAAAATTGAACAGAAATTTCAACTTTTGAAGTGACATTTAAAACAAATTTTTTGATGCTTTTTTCTGTGTTGATAGAGATTTTTCAACATCTCTTCAAAACAAAATTCTGTTAATAAAGTTATTTCATGTCAATCTTATAGTTTATAGTTCTTAATCCAAAAATTACAGCTTAATCGAAGATTTTTTTCTGTTTAATGAAAGCTGCTCTGAGAAACTGAGTGGCGTTTCATACAAAGCAATTTTATAAATATCATAAACATCGTTATTTAGAAAATTGATTTAAACGTTTCCATTTTCTGAAAATAAATACTATCAGTAATTGGTTGGCAAAACTACTAATACGGCTTTTGATTTTATAATTTTACAAAAATCTAAAAAAAACTCATTGAAACAACAGGAGTATCTAGCAATTTTTTTCCGACAGTCTAAAAAACAAGCTGCATTACGATGGCCATTTTCTTAAATTTCAACATTTTATAAGTTCCACAGTTTTTATTAAAGTATAAAAATCTTTCATAGCTGACACCAGTAAACTTCAGTGGAAACAGAATAAAGCTTCTAACGAAAAAAAAAACTTATTTTATGAGCCATCCAAGACATTGCACCAAAAGAATTCAATAACAGTTTGATTTTTTTTTCAAAATTTTACAGTTTGATAGAGGCAAAAAGAACTCGTTAGTTAGCTCAATATCTTGTATATAAAAAGTCATTTTCGACAATTTTATCAAAACTGTTAACTACAAATGTGTACGTACTGTTAATAAACTTTGTAAAAAAATATTTGGTATATTAAAAAGAATTTTAAAAAGTTGTTCTTTGGCTATTCAAGATTAAAACAATCAAAATCCGCATATTTCAGACTCGTAATTTATAGAGCATTATATGTTTGCGAAGATTCACACCAAGTCAAGCTTCAAAATGGCTAACTTTTTCGATTATACAGTGAAAAAATCATTTTTAATATGCATGTTTTTAACGTATCAACACGACGACTTCGCTGGGTTGATATAATTATACGTCTGAAAAGTTGTTTTTTTAAATGTTTGGACGAGAGACTTTTCAGCAAAGAAAATTTAGCTTTTTTTTCTTTCTTTCTGAGACCTTGATACTAACAATGTCTGTTGTAAAATTCATAGTTCCGACAGATCTGCTGGAGTGTGCACATAGAAGTACGTCATTTATCCAATTCACACAGAAACAGGTTTTGATCCAATGAAATTTGTACTCATTCCTTCTCACCTTAATCATCTGTACAATACATCATTGTAATTTTTTTGTAAAAAACTTTTTTTGCAAAAAATACTGCACCTCAATAAAACCAGGTGGTTTTGTTGAAGATTTACATGCAAATGTCAAACTATCACTACATTAGTACGCTCAGGATAACGTAACAATTTTCTGAGGCACTTTCGATGATCTCCAAAATTCAGCACCTAAAAGTCGGGTGAAAGTTTTCAAATACCATAAAGTTGCAACCAGTTAACTCAAAATTATGTTTCAAAATGTCAGATTTTTAGAAGAGCATTAGCAGCAAAAATTCGGTTAAACAACAGTATGAAACAATATTATTTTAATACTAAAAATAATACCTTTGGTGTCTTGTTAAAACCAAAAATACGCAGCGCTGTTAAGTTTAATATAGCTGAAGTGCTTAAATGAAATGGAAACAGAGTTGTGTACAGAAACCGTACTTTAATATAGCAGCAAAAATATTTGACGTACTTGTTTTTCGACACTCTGTATTGAACAGCATAAGCACATCTTTAATCTACCAATTCTCGGAAAGCCGCACTCAATTTAAAGCAACAGTTCAATTCAATTCTCCTTCTTTTTTTCCTACTACCTCTTAACACCACGTGGACCATTGTATTCTTGTTCTGTTAGTGTAGTTTCGAAGCCGAACAGATTCGTCTGCCTGTTTCAAAAAATAATTAGTTGCAAACAAAAATAAAGTTCTTAGTACTGTTTTCAAGTTAATTTTTCCTACCACCTTTTTGATCTGTTTTTGTCGATATTGTCACTTTGAAGTTTTTAAATTCTTTGATCAGACACCAACTAGATTCCAAGCATCAAAACAGTTCGCTGTGACGCAACATAAAAGTGTTGCCGAGTCATACGACATCTCTGCTGGATAATTGTAGACTGCAGTGTCAACACACACTAAAGGCCAGTAAAGTTTAGGTTACCAAAGAAGCTTTATTTACGTACTTACAAAAAAAAACAAAGATTATGCAAATAAAAAACTTGAATTTCTTGCTGTTGAAGAACAACAGTTCTTGATTGACTGAATCATTTCGGCTAAGTAATAACGGCAAAAACAACCAATAATAGTATGTGAACAATGGTTTTGAAACTCTGAATATCCAAAGGCGTTGAAAAAGAGAAAAAAAAATGAATAAAGAGCATCAAAAATTTATCACGCCATTTTTCACAAAAATTTGGAAAAAAAAGTGCAAAAACAACAAAAGAATTCCTTTTTTTTGATAAAGTTTTTAATTTACAAAAGCGAACCAAAAGGTAATATTGCTTAGGAAGTTCTTTACTTTTTTTTTCTCCTTTTCTCTTATCGCTACTACTGACGTGTTCTTTTACTGTTTTTCAGCAGATCTAAAGCTTCCAAAAATGATACCGCCTCAGCACCCCACAAAAGATGATTGTTAAAGAAGGATTACTAAACCACGGACAAACTGCAACCTTGTTGAAGAACGGAAATAGAAATTGTCGTCCAGTAAGTTGGTAGAAATAAAGTGGAAAAATAAGAGGATTTAGGAGGAAAGTGAGAGAACCGAAAAAAATCTAGCTTGTGTCAAATTACAACGGATTTCCCCTCCTATTTTTTTTTCTGCCCGTATAACCTTCAATATCGTTTAACACCATTTAATAATTATCACTGTCTATAATACAGCAGCGAATAAACAAGTAATAATAAATGATTAGATTTCTCGCTACAAGTAAAGTAGCGTCACCACGATATTGTTTTTTTAATTTCCCATGCATCTTTAGCAGATCAACAGTTTAACAAATAATTTGGTGGTGGATTCGGTGAAATCGAATGTCTTTCTTCTCCCTCTCCCAAAATCTGGTCGATAGAATGAAGCAGCCATTGTGCGGTATGCTTGCTGTTCAGAGCACAGTTGCTAATTGTTGAGCAGGCCGATAAAGGCTTGAATACGCCAAACAGACAAACTATCCAGCCCCTGCTTCACCACTTCTACCATCACTATCCGCACTATCGCCGCCAACAACAATAACAGCAACACTCGCAACAAACAACCGGCAGCAGCCTTCGCTGCGTTTAAAAGCTTTGTTACAAGATCTTCAGAAATTTCAGTCTACCTTTTTTCCCTTCCTCCATTCTCCCCTCTCTCCTCTCAACCCCTCTGGACAACACTGTTACGAATACAATCAATACAGAAGAAAGTCCGCAGAAAGAGAAAAAATTTTTCAGTGTAAACGAGACAGATTTTTTCTTTTCGTTTATCAAAAGCTTAGAAAGTTTATTGTCCATCTGTACGAATACTATACCAATTGATGTAATGAGAAAATTAATGATTTTCAAAAAAAGTAATGTGAAATTAAATTCATAATTAATACTTTCATTGTTACAAACTAAAAAAAATTAACGCCATCTATCCCCTGCAGTTCTTCTTGGTACAGCGGTACAGAAGAGATCGAAAATATACCGGAGAGACAAAAACACAGAAATTATGCGGAATTTTGTAAGAGAAAAAAAAGTTAGATTTGCTTTGTAGAAATAAGATTTAATGTATCAAACATGATTATCTTCTAGAATTAAACTTTTCTTTTTGTTTTATGGTGGTATTAGGTACTATTGCTGCTGGTGCCAATAATACTACTGTTGTCTGTTGCCGCCGTATTGTTGCCACCGTTGCTACGCTATTCAAATCGTCTGCATTAACAGGTTAGTCGATTAAATATAATGCAATAAAGAAATCCGCTATTTTGCCTGGTTCTACGAAACGTTTTTGCTCCTCATAAATGCGTGGGCTTCCGAATAACAACAAAACGCATTATGCACACACATAGAGCAAAAGTAACGGCAGTAGATCAGCAGCAACAGCAAATGAAAAACGATGCAAAAGAGAGAAGTGTTTTAATGATGCCGATGACGAAAAAAAGTAACTAATACACAAACACATAGAATACAGAGATTTTATGAGAATATTCCAAGCACTTACTTGTTCTGCTTAGTTAGCTCGACAAATTCTCGGCTTCAACTACCCGTATCCGCCTGAACAACACACACACATACACACATACACACACAAAGACACACACTCACCGACTGTAGTAGGCGGGGATCTGCAGGGCTGTGCTCAGTTGTAAAGCAAATCCTTTTAGCTAAAAATTCCACTCAGCCAAGCCACTGGCATAGTGTAAAGCTAAGGAGTCACTTCATCTGCACCGTTCCACTCCAGTCTACTCCAGTCGTTACTGCTCGCCGACAATGGTTAGTTTTTGTTTTCAATTCTATATTCTGTTAAGGAGTAGAATGAATATAGAATAGTTTTTATTTTTTGAGTAGTAATTTTCAAGTTTTTTTTCCTTTTTTGTCAATGGCTTCAACAATTTTTACAGTATTCTTTAGCTTTTTTGTTTTATTCAAACATTTTTGGACGTCTAATTCGGCTACTGTAAACCTTGGGAAAGTAAAATTTTTTCTGAATTTATAGTTCAAACAAATTACAAAAAAGTAAACTTTTTTTGCTTTGAAGCTCTATTTTTATGTCTAACTTTATCTTTTTACCTTTTTTGTCTTCTATTATTAAGGTTTTTTGGTTGAAATTGGGACTTTTTCCGTACATTTTCAACTACATTTCCCCCTGGTTGATGGCGTAAAAAAGGAATGATGGCAGGGTGGAAACTTCTTCGTATTATTTTTCCCCCTAATTCCTCGTGTCTCTTGATGGTAGTTAGGAACAGATAGCAAAACAAGAAAAGTGGAAAAAAGAATAATAAAGTTTTTTTGTATTGACAGGTCTCATGGTAAGCAACTTTTTTTGGAGAGAGTAGGGAAGGAAGGGCAAGAGTCAAGTGAAACTGCGGTCGATTTTTGGCAGTTTTAAGGGTCTTGAAACTGTTAATCCTTCTATTTTTGTCTTTTTCGTCTGTCAGCAAAAAATTCTAAAAAGCGATTGGGGTGTTGACCAAACTGCAGTGATCCATTGATGGTGCAGCTAAATGAGTCAGTAAAAATTGACCTAAAAGAGCCAAAAGTAAAAAAGCAAAAAAAAAATTGTTTAGCATCAAGGAAGAACTTTGCTAGAAATAAAGTGTAATGGCTGATGATTTGTCAGTGCGAACCAAAAATAGCTGCTAATTACAGTCTAAGGCTGCCAAAAAGAAGACTACTAAGAAGCGATCTGGATCTGAGGCGACTCAGTTCGACCAGAAGACCATCCAGGAGTTCAAGGAAGCATTCGGTATCATGGATCAGAATAAAGATGGCATCATTGACAAAAATGATTTGAAGGACTTGTACGCATCAATGGGTCAGATTGCTTCTGATGCACAAATTGATGCAATGATCAAAGAGGCTCCAGGACCGATTAATTTCACTGTTTTCTTAACACTGTTTGGTGAAAGGTTAACAGGTTGGTAAAACTTGGTTGTTTTTTTTCTCAAGCTTTTTTCTTGCTAATTTTGTTTGAGGTTGCATTATTTTTACCAATTGAAGAGTAAATTATGACTTCCCTTCCTTAAATTTTAACAAAAATATTACTGTTATGATTTGTTTTGTATCACTGCAAATTAGTTTGTATTGTTCTTTCAATATTTGTCACATAAAAACGTGCCGTATAGTAAGGTCCCTGTGTTGTACTGTGGTTGCGTGTTCCTTATTTTTTTTATTTCTTCTAAGCACTTAAACACGCAGTATTATTGCCACTGTACTTGAAGAAAAATTCCAGCTGTTTGGCATTTTTAAGGCACGGACCCGGAGGCCACGATTGTCGGCGCTTTCCAGATGTTTGATAAGAAGGAAACTGGCAAAATATCTGAGGAAGAGTTGACTAAAATTTTAACGAATAAAAGAGGTGAACCACTCGATGAGGATGAAATTAAAGCAATGTACAAGGTTATTTTTTTTCTCTTCAATGCCGGTGAATACACCGGACCTGTTTCTTCGTCTAATTTTAAAAAAAAAAAAAGCGGCAGATTTTTTTTTTGTAGTTTCACCAACAAAAATTATCCGGAGCTGTTATACAGCCTCAATGTAAACAGCTTAGGTCTGTCTAGAGTAGATTTTTCTCTGCTGTTGCTGCTGCTGTTGAGAACAAATCAATCATCATAGCAGAAAAACATTTAAACTAGACAATAAACCAAAGCAGCATACCTTTGCACTCTTTACAGCAACAACAGTAAACATCATAACTAACGCTACTTTCACCTGTGTATTCAGTCAGTTTGTTTTTAAATGATTCCAATTTTGGTTTTTTTTTATTGTGTAGAAATCAGTGAATGAGTGGCAGATGGTAACGGTGACATATACAATCTTAATAAGAATGCTCTAAATTTTGTTGTGAAAAGTTGAGGGAAAAAATTGTTTCTTTTTTTTTTTTTGTCTGACTGTTTGTAATTGACACATTTGTTTAGCAGAGATATTCGGCGTGATGACCCTTTGATCTGTTTAGGGTAAACCACCAATTGAAAACGGTATGGTTGATTACAAAGCATTTGCACATCTGATTACAACCGGTGCCCAGGAAGAATTAGCACAAGCTTGAACGACAAGCGCACATCATCAATATTACCATTTGTGGGAGCGACGTACGGCACACTGTTCTTCTGGTCTACGTAACGTAACAGGGGCATCAACATTACCACCAACAACAACTTCCACTGATGATGGCTTATTACATATTTTCATTGATTTCTATGTAACGGTGCACAACGACGCTAGTGCTGTCGGACTACGAGCTGTTTCTCCATTCCTTGTGAATTTGACAATTACCGGCCTTAAATTTACGAGACAAAAAAAAAATTAGTTTTTGACAAAAACCTTAATATAAGAGGAAGCAGTAAGGGGACAAAACAAAAAAACTTCTGTTCTTTTTTTCTTCTGTTTTGAAAACTAGAAGAACTTTCTGATTTTCATTTCGCTTTATCAAGTTTTTTCTCATTTTGAGTAAACACATCCTTTTCGACGCTGCTTTTCATACCCGCTCCCTATTTCCCTTCTTCCCTACTCCGCCCTCATGTTTTACACACTGAATTTTTATTGGTCATTTAGTTGTTTCTCGTTTCAAATCCACCAAAAATTTGGAATTTTTTTCGTTTTCTTATTATACAATTCTTTTCCACCAATAACTTTTCATATTTCTGTCGTTGTTTAGAAAAAGAAAATTTCCCTGCAAAAAAAAAACAAAAAAAAAATCAAAAAAAAAACAAAACTCCAAAAAAAAACTCTAGTCTGGCAGCACCAGCGACCAAGAATTTTTTGTATGTTTTTCTTTCTTCCTTGTTCTTCCTTTTTTTTTCGGTAATATATGATATGTTAGCAAAGAAATAACAAAAACGCACTCAACTGTAAAACAAGTAACAACAGAATTATACTAAACGGAACAAAAAAAAAAAAATTAAGCTGAGAGAAAAGAGAAATTCTGGAGGTCAATGAAATGATGAAAAATTGTTCAGCTACAATGTACCTAGTTTTCTTTTTTAGTTTTCAACACTTTTTTTTGTTAACTCTGACTTTTTCTTCAGTGGCAAAATTTTTGCGTGTAACTTTTGCGTTCTTCTTTTCATCTCTTTATTTTTGCTTTTATTTCATTTTGTTTTTTTTTTTTTCACTTTGAAAGAAAATTTCAAATGATATAAAAACTGTTTTACAGGAACAATTGATGCTTAATTTCACACACACACACACACAAACACACACACACACACGCACCCACCTTACAATAATAGTTGTTGATGATCACTGATTAGCATATAGAAGTTTTTTTATGCGTGTACGTGTGTATGTGTTTGTTGAATTTATTTGTATTTGGGTGAAATGCTCCGTGAATTCCGTTGCTAATGTTGTTGTGCCGTCGTCAAAAATTTTCCAAATAATAGTAACTTTTGACAGCCGTAGTAACGATTACATTAACAGACAGCAACGTAGCTGACAGATACGTGAATATAAGTTTCCCTTTCGGTTTCCTTTTTCCTATCGCAACTTTTTTCGTTGGCAAACCATCATTAAACACCTTTCGTCATCAGAAAAAGAAAAAAAAACCGAACACTATTTGCATCTGCAGTCTTTCCAACTGCTTTTTCACCAGTTCGAATAACGAAACGATTAAATAGAATCAGCCAAATACGGTATCGTCAGTGTCAAATCGGTCATCGTTTAACAAAATGTTTACTAAAAATGGAAAACAAAACACAAAAAACTGCAGGAAGACAAAAAAAAAATGACGGAAAAGTAGCTTAACTGCAAAAACCGATAGATTTTTTTGACCCCTCTCCCCCTTTTTTTTTTGGTTTTGCAAAACAACAAACGTTTAGAAAACATTACAACTCTTTTCTGTCTAATCACTAAATAAAAAATAAAAAAAAAGAAAACAATTGTAAACTTTATGTTTTGCATCTCACTTTCGATTAAAAATCATTTTTTTTTTTTTGTTTTTTTTTTCCTTTAATAAAACGGTAGTCGTGCTGTAGTTGGTTAAGTAGACGCTGACGGCCAACAAAAAGCTTTAATGATGATTTCTGAAACCATTTAACTCGTTTTTTTTTCTTAAATTCATAAAATATTCAGTTAGTCGCACTGACGTCAACACAGACGTACATCAAAAATGAGAGCAAAAAGCTGGCAGTTTTGGTAACAGAAAGAATTTTAACATTTGAATACCCCAAAAAACAGAAGTTGTATAAGAAAAGAAATTTGTACAAAACCAAAAGATGAATAAAGCAATGAAGGAAATGACGTAAGATTTGAAACAAATACTATTAATTTATTTTCATATACAGTTAAGTGTTTAAAAAAAATCTTTTTTTGTCTTTCAATTGTAAACATATGCAATAGGCTTATCAACGTATTGAAAACATGTTTAAACTGGATGGACTTTCATCAGTTAACAGCATAACGCTGCCGATGATGAATTTATGATACCATCAAAAAAAAGTCTACAGAGGGGCGTCGATGGTTCCTAAAGGTCGTAGACTATCGGTATGGCGACAAAAACTTTGTACAGACAGCATTCCGTCGAAGCAAAAATCTACTTGTCTGCGAAACTTTGAACGCTTAAACGCTGCATAGCTCATTTTTAAACTTCTTCAATAAAAATTTAGCGCTAATTAGACATTGAATTCATCAAATCATCATGGACTTTTGGCTCGACAGTGGTCGATGAACAAAGCTGAATAGATAACTTTATTGCTTTATAAGAGACTTTATATTGACTGAGTCAGGTGTACAACTGTGGAAGTTTCTGAAGTTTTTTAAGACGTGATAAACTAATCCTTTTCAGCAGTTTTAACTAGATTTGTTGAATACTTCGGTGGTTAACGTCGTTGTATCAACGGTTAAGTAGTTGAAACCTAGCACGTTTATGTTGAAGTACAAATTGTTTAACAGAAAAAAATCACGCCTAACGGAGGCAGTTTTTAAATTTTTGTGGCATGTACGATATTAATTTGCTGTAGAACGAAAAAGTATAGAGGTGAATCCAGAAAAAGAACAATATTCGCCTTACTTTAGAAACACTTTTTGTAAGGTATTGAGGTAAAGCAACTTTTTTTTAAAAATTACGTTGCAGTTTTTTTTACACTACAATTTTGTCAAGACTATTTCTTCCTTTTTATTAAACGATTTAACTGTACACAACATAAGCAAAAAAAAAAAAGTGAAAAATTAATGCATGACTGAAAGACAGTGAGGCTTCATAATCTGACGAAATCTTAACACTGTTGGTGTTTGGTTACGCTACTGCTTTTACTCTGCACTGATTATCCAGAACAAGCACTTTAATGTTTTTATCAATCGGATATACTGTATAGCACAGATACTTAGTCGAATATAGCCAACTAATAGAAAAAACAACTTGAATTTATAAAAATTATGCGAAGAAAACAGGACAGAAGAAATGACAAAAATAGTGAGAGCTAAACAAGGCAAAAAGACAATGTAAAGGTTTAGAAAACACAGGAGGAATGAACAGATCATTTGGAAACCGAGAAAGGGCTAAAAATTGATGTGACGATCAGAAAGTGCAAATTTGACGCTGTACAAAAAATGATAGACAAAAAAAAAAGTAGATGAAAAACTGGAATTAATTTGTATTACTTGCCGAGGTATTTCTCTTCAAAAGCAACACTGTAACTGATGCATGAAAATGAAGACAAAAAGAACCCTCTCGAACACCTATAATCAAATTTTTTTTATCAATTTGTTTTTCTCCTTATATATTTTTTTCTTATTTCTTTCTCTTATCAAAAGTTTTTTGTTTTTCTACAGAACAGAAAAAAAAACATTTTCAACAATATAGCTCTCTGATCGTCAACATTAATAGTCAGCCAAATAAGGTTGAAGTTTATTTCTGGCAAGCATGGAACCGATGCAGCGAAAACAATGACGGCAATTACAGTACTCAGTAAAGTTAGTGGAAATCAGCAAATATATTTATAAAATAATTTTCTTTTAGTCAATTACTGTTGACTTTTGTCTTTCGTTTTTGTTTGTTAACAAAATAGTAAATTTTTTAAAGTTTTTAAGTCGCCGCATTTGTTGTTAAAAAACAATGATCTATGTGAGTAAACAAAAAAAAAAATAAGAAAATAAACTATTTTTCCTTCTGTTTTTCGTCATTTGTTTTTTTTTTCTTTCACAGTATTATTGATCTAAGTTTGGTAGCTGCTGTTTACAGCAAAGAAAAAAGCAGTAAACACACAAACTGATTCGAATTTATGCAGCGGAAAAAAAAAACAGTGAAGGAAAAATCAAGAAAAATAACACATAGCATTATCAATGTCACTATCAAAAAATAAATTTTAAGTTTTTTAATTTTTCAACGTAAAAAAAGATATGTGAAATAAAGGAATTTGTCTCTACTTTTTTATAAACTTTTTTTTTTACTGCTGTCGTTATAAAA